CGCTACATTTTATTGCCAAGATTTTGCCTCGCATACCGCTAAAAAACCCGCTCAACGCTGTTCGTCCGAGACGCATCTAATGTGCGCCCTTAGCCAGCCTCACATGTTCCGCCGGTGGCATTGTTTACCAGCCAGCCTCTGCGGTAACATCCAAGCATACAATCGGAACATTTCGTATTATTACAGTGTTTCTGGTGATTTTATCTGCAAAATAAGTGACCATGGGCCCCAAGAAAGCTTCTAGTGCCAACCCTACAGCAATAAGGGTGAGAATTACTATAGGGATGAAGAAAGAGATCATTGATAAGTATGAAAGTGGAGTGCGTGTCTCCGAGCTGGCCAGGTTGTATAGTAAACCCCAATCAACCATCGCTACTATTGTGGGCAACAAAAAGGCAATCAAGGAAGTTGTTCTTGCCAAAGGTTTAACTGTGTTTTCGAAACAGAGATCGCAAGTGATGGAAGATGTTGAGAGACTCTTATTGGTGTGGATAAATGAGAAACAGATAGCAGGAGATAGCATCTCCCCAAGTGATCATAAGTGAAAAGGCTAGGAAGTTCATCGGGTTTTAATTAAAAAAATCCCTGCAACTAGTGATGATGTGAGTGAATTAAGGCCAGCAAAGGTTGGTTTGAGAGATTTAAGAGGCTTAGGGCATAACATAGTGTGATAAGGCATGGTGGGGGCTGCAGTTCGGACCACAAAGCAGCTGAAAAATATGTGCAGGAATTCAAGGAGTACATAGAAACTGAAGGACTGAAACCTGAACAAGTTTTTAAAATTGTGATGAAACAGGCCTGTTTTGGGAAGAAAATGCCAAAGCAGGACCTACATTACTCTGGAGGAAAAGGCACTCCCAGGACATAAGCCTATAAAAGACAGGCTTACTCTGTTGATGTGTTCCAATGCTACTGGTGATTGCAAAGTGAAGCCTTTATTAGTGTATCACTCTGAAACTCCCAGACCGTTCAGGCAAAAAATGTCCCTCAAGGAAAATTTGTGTGTGCTGTGGAGGGCAAACAGTAAGGCATGGGTCACTAGGGACTTTTCTAGACTGGTTACACCCTGCATTTGCCCCCAATGTGAAAGATTAAACCCAACTGAAAAGAAATTAGAACTTAAGTCCTCCTGGTGTTAGACAATGCCCCTGGTCATCCTACAGCGTGGGAGAGCGACTTTATGGGGACATGAAATTTATTAAGGTGAAGTTTTTTTGCCTCCTAATACCACTCCTCTCCTGCAGCCCCCTGGACCAGCAGGTTTTTGCAAACTTCAAAAAACTGTACACAAAAACTCTGTTGAAAGGTGCTTTGTATGACCTCAGAAACTCAACTGACTCTAAGAGACTTTTGAGAGATCACTTTAAAAATCCTCAATTGTGTAAACCTTATAGGTAAGGCTTGGGAGGGAGTGACTAAGAGGACCTTGAACTCTGCTTGGAAGAAACTGGCCAGAATGTGTAACCAAAGGGATTTTGAAGGGTTTCAGGCTAACCCTGAGAATATATCCAGTTGAGGAATCCAAATTTTGGCATTGGGAAAGTCCTTGGTGTTGGAGGTTAGTGGGGATGATGTGGAAGAGTTGGTGGAGGAGGACAATGAAGAACTAACCACTGATGAGCTGATAGATCAACTTCAACAGCAAGAGGCCAGACCTGAGGAAACTGGTTTGAAGGAGGGGAGAGAGAAATTGAAGAAATTGCCTACTACAAAGATTAAGGAAATCTGTGCAAAGTGGCTTGAAGTGCAAACCTTCATGGATGAAAATCACCCTCTCATAGCTATTGCAAGCCGTGCTGGTGACTATTACACTGACAATGTTGTGAAACACTTTAGGGAAGTCATAAAGGAACGAGAGGTACAGGCCACTATGGACAGATATGTTGTGCGACAGAACTCCAGTGACTCTGAAGCTGGTCCTAGTGGCATTAAAAGAAGAAGGGAAGAAACCCCAGAAAAGGACTTGACACCTCTAAGTCTTAATGGAAGGGGATTCCCCTTCTAAACACTAACACACACTCCTCCTCCCATCCCATCAGTCATCACCAGATCTTCAATAAAAGTAAGTGTCATGTAATTGTGCATGCCTTTTTCAGTTTGTGTGTATTAAAATTAATATTTCATGTGGTAAAATTTTTTTTTTCATACTTTGGGGTGTCTTGCACGGATTAATTTGATTTCCATTATTTCTTATGGGGAAAATTAATTCGCATAACGATAATTTCGCATAACAATGAGCTCTCTTGCACGGATTAATATCGCTATGCGGGGGTCCATTGTACAGTATATATAATTCCTATACATATCTACTATAATGTTTAATTGATAAATTTCACACAATAAGTGGAGAATTATCACTTTTTCACTGATAGGAAGCACTTCACAGCTTCTCTTAGGCTTTTGCACTTTGAGGCCATTATTAAGCAAAATTAAGAGTTATTTTAGGGCCATGGATAACTCAAACCGAGGACACCAGACCTGCGGATATGGGGGTCCTACTGTATTCCATACTTGCAAGTGATACCAAGAAACAGCCAATAAAACTAATCCTTGAAAAAGCCTCGGAGTCACTTTTTTAATCCTTTCAGGGTTTCGGCCATACTAGTACTGCTTACACACCAGTGTCCATGACGTACTAGTACGCATAAATTCTAGCGCCTTCAAATGTAGTGAGAGAAAGCTGGTAGGCCTACATATGAAAGAATGGGTCTGTGGTCAGTGTGCGCAGTATAAAAAAAATCCTGCAGCACACAGTGCATAATGAGAAAAAAAAAACTTCGACCGTGTTTTTGGATTAAAACAGCGACTTTGCACTATATTTTCGTATGGTATTTATTGTTGTATTCTAGTTTTCCTGGTCTCATTGTATAGAATGGAAGACATATTACAGAAATTGAGATGATTTGACTGGTTTTACAATGAAAAGTACCTTGAAATTGAGCTCAGAGTAGCAGAAATATTTTATTTTTACCAAAGTTCAAAAGTAAACAAATCATGCTAAGTGTCCAATACACGTCAACTGGTGAGTCTAATATTCTTTCACAAGTGCGCCGATATTATTTATACCATTTCTACACTAATGCAGTACATGTAGTCTGCATAACAGTAAATCTTATTTTTTTTTTTTTGTGAGAATAAAAATTCAAAGTGGAAAGCAAAACAAATGTAAGAGGGGCCTGGGGACGTGACTAATGAACAGAGGAAATGTTATTTTAGTGCCAGGAATGTCTCTTGTTTATTCTGGACCCTATTTGGAAATTGGCATCTTTTGAAATTTGTGTGAAATTGGCAAAATTGCTAAATTCTGAGCACTGTATTGGATAGTTGAAATCGGTAAATTGGTGGTTTCTTGTATTCATTTGATAGAAAAAATGGAGTTCTAGCGAAATAGTTATGATTTTTGTCGACTAGTACATTGGAATTTGCCAAAAATAGGGCTCAAAGTGGGCAAAATCGCTGATGCGTAAACATCGTCGAGATGGCTAACTTTGCAAGAGCATAATTCTGTAAGTTTTCCATGAAATTTCATACTTTTGGTGTCATTATGACCGGGAAAAGATTCTCTATCTTTTCACAAGAAAAATTTGTTTTTTTCTTTGAAATTTGGGGGACCCTGAGAACAAGTCTCTGAGAGGGCCTGTGTACCCTGAAAGGGTTAAACCAAACCCAAGTTCAAAGGTTTGCATTTTCCATCATGAACGGTACAGAGGAGGATGTTTTTTTGTACTGCACACTCGCTGCATAGACCCATTCTTTCATGTCTAGGCCAAAATTTACTTCTCACACCATATTTGAGGACACTGTGCTTAAAATGTAATTCTGTGACACTGGCATCAATAACGTAGATCTGTGCACAAGAGAGAGAGAAAAGGTTACAAAGGAAATCAAGGAAACAGAGCTGGTTGTTTCTTTCCTCAATCATAAATTAAATGGTAGTAGTATATCACATTATGCTGGGGATGTCTAGTATGGTGTGTTCTGCTTTGAAGTGGTCCATGTAAAGGTTTGCTAAAACCACACTGATGGCCAATGGCCACCCAAACAATATTTTCTGTATTGAGCTGAAACAATTGTAGTTGATACAGTTTCACCAGATCCATGAAATGTCATTGCTGGGTAAGAACGGGTGTTAAGTTTGTCATTAACTTTGTTGTATACTGTAGTAGCATGATAGCTTGTGTGATGGGGATGTTAATGGAGAGAGATTTCATGTCAAACCTGGCTAGGCATTTGTTCTTGATGTTATTGTCTTTCACTTAATTGATGAGTGAAAGACAGATGTGACTGACTAATGGTACTCAGTAGCCTGAACAGATGTTTTATGAATGTTCTTGAAAGGTTATGAGGGGCATTCTTGATATTTGTAATGGTAGATCTGAGGGGGATGTTGACTTTATGGGTCTTAAGTTAGTATATATGAAGGAAACCAATTACAGTGGACCCCCGCATAACGATCAGCTCCCAACTCGACCAATTATGTAAGTGTATTTTTGTAAGTGCTTTTGTGGGTGTATTTTTGGGGGTCTGAAACGGACTAATCTAATTCACAATATCTCTTACGGGAACAAATTCGGTCTATAACGGCACCCAAACAGACTTCTGGATTGAAATAATATCATTATCCGGGGGTCCACTGTATATCTTATTAAAATTCTTCTTGTGTGAGATGCCTTGTGATGGGTGAGCACAGTATAGGTTCATCACACCCAGCAGCTAGTAATTGTAATCTGTAAAGCCTGGCTGATCTTGGTTTGATAGGTAAAAGGTACAGCAGCTTCTTTCCTTGTTCTGTGTTGCGAAGTATGTGATGGGCCTGGCTAAGAAATGTCTTGGTCACCTCACTTCATAAAATAAAATGTCTTGAATGTTGTATGTGTTTTTACCCCAGTCTGTCAGTACTGATACTACAAGCTGTATTTTCATTTGGCAGTTGGTAATTTTAAGCAAGTCTTACATTAATAATTTTTAAATAAATTAATTTTATCTTTTACTGTTTACAGTTGATCATCTGTTGGGTGATAGCCCAGTAAATTCCCAAACCATCACCTCAAAAAATCATACAGGTAAACCTAAAAAAAAATATAAGCACAAGAATATACTGGGAACAGACTCTGAAGAGTCATCACAGCAGACTACAAGGAAATTATTTGATTCAACAGTAAGAAAAATTACACAAAATGAGGTTATATTAGACACTGACGAAAAAGCAACTACTAGTACAAAAATTAAACAAAAGTCTATAAAAGTGGGCAAAGGAAAACAAAGTAACAATAACCAGACAAATAATATTGAGAAAACTTGTGATACGCATCAGCTTAAGAAAAGAGGTTCAGAATGTCAAGGAAGAACATCCTTCAAATCTGGAGAGAGAGTAACAGAAGATGGCTTTAAAATTGTATCGACAATACCTGAGGACGACTCTGATGTATCTGATGCTTTTGAGCAAGATGATGACTGGGAAGGATTGTCAGTGGGGAGTACTAGTTATGAATATAATAAAGGAAAAAATGCTGAAGGTTCCTCAAGAGGATCAAGAAAAAATAATGATGGATTCAAAATAGTTACCGAAATACCACCAGACAACAATGATGCGAGTGGTGCATTTCATGAAGAAGATTGTGTAGATAGAGAAGTAAACTTGACAGAAGGATGCCAATTAAATGGAAAGAAAACTATTAAAAAGCCCATTCTTCAGTTGATGAATGATTTTGGTAAGTTTTTGTTAGTTTTTTCACCAAAATAGACAACTTTAGGGTTATCATATAAGTAATATATATAAGTAATATACAGTAGCCATGTGTGAGCATGTTAGATAGTATTGGAGAGGAATGGTTTTTGGGACTTAAGCTGTTGGAGTGTGAGCAGGGTAATATTATATGAAGGGATTCAAGGGAAACTTTTTAGCCAGACTTTCAGTACAATAGACCACAACATCCCACATCTAGAACATGATATCAAAGCTCTACCTTAACAGTAGATGCCAATATATCTCCATCAAGGGCATAAACTCATCAACTTGACCTATCAATATAGAGGTGCCTTAGGGGACTTCTATATTGGGAGGGGTTTGGCATATTTGCTATTTAGCAACATCTAAAGAGGTTACTAGCCCCTTGCTCCCAGCATTTCAGTCGCCTCTTACAACACGCATGGCTTACGGAGGAAGAATGCTGTTCCACTTCCCCATGGAGATAAGAGGAAATAAACAAGAATAAGAACTAGAAAGAAAATAGAAGAAAACCCAGAGGGGTGTGTATATATGTGCTTGTACATGTATGTGTAGTGTGACCTAAGTGTAAATAGAAGTAGCAAGACATACCTGAAATCTTGCATGTGTATGAGACAGAAAAAAAAAAAAAAGACACCAGCAATCCTACCATCGTGTAAAACGATTACAGGCTTCAGTTTTACACTCGCTTGGCAGGACTGTAGTACCTCCCTGGGCGGTTGCTCTCTACTAACCTACTACCTAGAAAAAATAAATAAATATATATATATATTTTTTTTTTTCAACAAGTCGGTCGTATATATATATATATTAATATATATATATATATATATATATATATATATATATATATATATATATATATATATATATATATATATATATATATATATATATATATATATATATATATTATATATATATTAATTTTTTTTTATTTTGCTACAAAAGAATCTTATAAAACTTACCTAACCTTATTATAGCAAGAGCAATTTATTTTAGCCTAACCCAGTTACAGTGGACCCCCGGTTAACAATATTTTTTCATTCCAGAAGTATGTTCAGGTGCCAGTACTGACCGAATTTGTTCCCATAAGGAATATTGTGAAGTAGGTTAGTCCATTTCAGTCCCCCAAACATACACGTACAAACGCACTTACATAAATATGCTTACATAATTGGTCGCATTGGGAGGTGATTGTTAAGCGGGGGTCCACTGTAAATATATTTTAGATTTGTTTGCAATAATTTAATACTAAACAAACATAGTTAAATATATTTTTTTCATTAGGTTCAGAATTATTTTGGCAAAGTTATTGCATACATAAATTTTCGCTTGTCCTATATGGCAAGATGAGCGTTGCCATTTAAGCCAAGATCGCAAGTTCTGCCTATTCGGCACGACCGACACACACACACACACTCTATATGTGTGTGTGTATATATATATATACAGTGGACCCCCGCATAACGATTACCTCCGAATGCGACCAATTATGTAAGTGTAATTATGTAAGTGCGTTTGTACGTGTATGTTTGGGGGTCTGAAATGGACTAATCTACTTCACAATATTCCTTATGGGAACAAATTCGGTCAGTACTGGCACCTGAACATACTTCTGGAGTGAAAAAATATCGTTAACCGGGGGTCCACTGTATGTATATATTTTATATATATATATATATATATATATATATATATATATATATAATATATATATATATATATATATATATATATATATATATATTATATATAATATATATATATATAAAGTAGAATGACATGGAAAGCATATAAATCTATGGGGAAGGAAGGCGGGGTAGGGTCATCCTCGAAAGGGTTGGAGAGAGGGGGTAAAGGAGGTTTTGTGGGCAAGGGGCTTGGACTTCCAGCAAGCGTGCGTGAGCGTGTTAGATAGGAGTGAATGGAGACGAATTGTACTTGGGACCTGACAATCTGTTGGAGTGTGAGCAGGGTAATATTTAGTGAAGGGATTCAGGGAAACCGGTTATTTTCATATAGTCGGACTTGAGTCCTGGAAATGGGAAGTACAATGCCTGCACTTTAAAGGAGGGGTTTTGGGATATTGGCAGTTTGGAGGGATATGTTGTGTATCTTTATACGTATATGCTTCTAAACTGTTGTATTCTGAGCACCTCTGCAAAAACAGTGATAATGTGTGAGTGTGGTGAAAGTGTTGAATGATGATGAAAGTATTTTCTTTTTGGGGATTTTCTTTCTTTTTTGGGTCACCCTGCCTCGGTGGGAGACCGGCCGACTTGTTGAAAAAAAAAAAAATATATATATATATATAATATATATATTATATATATATATATATATAATATATATATATATATTTTTTTTTATTTATTATCACACTGGCCAATTCCCACCAAGGCAGGGTGGCCCGAAAAAGAAAAACTTTCACCATCATACACTCCATCACTGTCTTGCCAGAAGGGTGCTTTACACTACAGTTTTTAAACTGCAACATTAACACCCCTCCTTCAGAGTGCAGGCACTGTACTTCCCATCTCCAGGACTCAAGTCCGGCCTGCCGGTTTCCCTGAACCCCTTCATAAATGTTACTTTGCTCACACTCCAACAGCACGTCAAGTATTAAAAACCATTTGTCTCCATTCACTCCTATCAAACACTATATATATATATAGTGCAGTTAGCCTCTCAAAAACTCCATTTTCTATTACCCAGGACCAAAGAACACGTTATAGGAAGGAGCAGTGATGATTTTATATACTCGGACTGGTTCTGGACATTGGTTCTAGGCCATATTATGGCCTGTTTTATTCATTCTAGAGTATAAGTAATGTTTCTATGTTACTTAATGTGTTTATCATGTCATATTAGATCCATTCTGATAGATAAATAAGCCGTAGAGTTGATATTAGCGTTATATTGAAGTATTTTCTCCTACCCCTGTAGTGGGTTTTTGGGGGCTGGAATGGATTAATGGCATTTCACTTCATTTCAAAGAGGAATATTGATTTGATATACGAGCAATTTGAGTTATAAGCTCGGTCACAGAATGAATTAAACTCGTAAGTCAAGGTACCACTGTACTTACAAAGAAATTTGTTTTCTAGGTTTTGATGATAGCATATTTTATGAAAAACGGGATCACGCCACAAGGGAAGCAGGCATGCTGTCAAAAAAGTGTACATCTAAGAAGAGAACTTCAAATACTCTTGCTGAATTAGCCAAGAAAAAGCAGCAGAAGGAAGTGATGATATTGGACTATTCTAAGAAAAGAGGACCAAGCAAAAACCTTTATAAATCTGATGAAGAGAATATCAGTGAAGTACAAAAGCCTCCCTCTGAGGTAAGGAAAAAGTGAGTGTACTCACCTATTTGTGGTTGCAGGGGTCAAGTCACAGTTTCTGGCCCTGTATGTGTGTGTGTGTGTTTCTTTTTAGTGTCCCACTAACTTAATCTGACCTAGTAAAAGCCCATAACACAGCTGGAGGATGTAGGGATGGCCTTACCTGTCCTCAGAAAAATTGAATATTTGCACTATTTTGAGGCCAGTTTTAAGCTTTTTTCAGTCCTGGAACCAAAATTATCTCTATTTAAATAGGATATCTTCCATTCTATCAAATGATATAAAAAAAACAGCCAATAAAACCATAACCATCCTAGAAACCACTTCAGTTGCTGTTTTACACCATGCATCGCTTGGGACCCATTCTCTCATATCTAGGCCAAAATTTTCAGGTCTTAGTTTATCAGAATGAGCTCGAGCTGAGCTAAAGACTTAGATCTATGTGAGGGGTCCTGGTGTCAATAACTTAGAACTATGTGACAGACAGTGAAAGGGTTGATATAAAGCTAATTTCAGTTCATTATATGTAAATCAGATGAGTTTCTTTAACCCTTTCAGGGTCCCCAGGCCCTCTCCGAGACTTGTTCTCAGGGTCCCCAAATTTAAAAAAAAAAATTATTTTTTCTTATGAAAAGATAGAGAATCTTTTCCCGTTCATAATGACACCAAAAGTATGAAATTTGATAGAAAACTTATGGAATTATGCTCTCCTGAAGTTAGCGGTTTCGACGATGTTTACGCATCGGCGATTTTGCCCACTTTGAGCCCTATTTTTGGCCAATTCCAGTGTACTAGTCGACAAAAATCATAACTATTTCGCTAAAACTCCATTTTTTTTTGTATCGAATGAGTACAAGAAACCACCCATTTACCAATTTCAACTATCCAATAAAGTGGTCAGAATTTAGCAATTTTGCCAATTTCACAAATTTCAAAAGATGCCAATTTCCAAATAGGGTCCAGAATAAACAAGAAAGACATTCCTGGCACTAAAATAACAAGTTCTTTGTTCGTTAGTCACATCCCCAGGCCCCTCTTATATTTCTTTGGCATTCCACTTTGAATTTTTATTCTTACAAAAAATAGAAGATTTACTGTTATGCAGACTACTGCATTAGTGTAGAAATGGTATAAATAATATCAGCGCACTTATGAAAGAATATTAGAATCTCCAGTTGACGTGTAATGGACGCTTGGCATGATTTGTTTACTTTTGAACTTTGGTAAAAATTGAACATTTCTGCTACTTTGAGCTCATTTTCAAGGTACTTTTCATTGTAAAACCAGTCAAAATCATCTCAATTTCTGTAATATGTCTTCCCTCCTATAAAATGAGAGCAGGAAAACTAGAATACAACAATAAATACCATACGAAAATACAGTGCAAAGTCGCTGTTTTAATCCAAAAACAAAGTATTTTTTTCTCATTACGCACTGTGTGCTGCAGGATTTTTTTTTATACTGCGCACACTGACCACAGACCCATTCTTTCATATGTAGGCCTACCAGCTTTCTCTCACTAGATTTGAAGGTGTTAGAATTTAGTCGTACTAGTACGTCAAAAACTCTGGGGCGTAGGCCGTACTAGTACAGCGGAAACCCTGAAAGGATTAAATACATTTCCTGGTACTGCAGATGTATGTTCCTTGTGTTAACTTGGTTTGCATTTTTTCCTTTAATTTTTATCTTTGATATAAATTGTATTTCAGGTACATTGACTGTATATGTATGCATGTAAAGTACAATATATATGTAAATCAAATACTTTTATTCAGCAAATTATGGATGAAAAGGAGCTGAAACGTGCTAGGTATGATGTCTTCAAACTGGGGATGAGTGGCTTTCACAAAGAAAAGAAAGAAGACACAAGAGTTGCTCTTGCCATAAAATTAGGAGCTAAGCCACCCAAGAATAAGGTAAGATTTACTGAAGCTTTAGTTAATATACAGTTTGAAATTAGTCTGAATTTATATGTAAAATGAAAACAAAGTAGTGGAAGAGGGTGAGAAGGACAGGCTCATTCTAGCTCCTCTCTTGATTTTAAGTAAATTGTACATACTTTTGAAGCTGCAGCTTATCATTGGGCAACACTTATTCTCTGAATGGGTAAGTGAAAGTGGAGGTTCAGCACTGACCTCCAGTATATTACAGGCCATAAAACTGGAGGGAGGGAAGTTTATTTTCCCCTCAATCATAAATACAGTGGACCCCCGGTTAACGATATTTTTTCATTCCAGAAGTATGTTCAGGTGCTAGTACTGACCGAATTTGTTCCCATAAGGAATATTGTGAAGTAGATTAGTCCATTTCAGACCCCCAAACATACACGTACAAACGCACTTACAGAAATACACTTACATAATTGGTCGCATTGGGAGGTGATCGTTAAGCGGGGGTCCACTGTAATCATATTTTTTGATAACCCCTGGTATGAGATGGTGATATCTTTTTCAAACCTTACAGGTGGAATTACATTAAATCACATTTTTTCTGCATTGGCAATCAACACGAGCAATATTTTTATATCCTAAAAGAACATATCATTAGATTAATGGTGTAGACCGACAAATTGATTAGCAAGACACATTTGCAATGCCTGTGTATTTTTATTGAGACAGGGATGTGTAATGTCACCATGATTGTTTAATATATTTATAGATGGGGTTGTAAAAGAAGTAAATGCTAGGGTGTTCGGGAGAGGGGTGGGACTAAATTATGGGGAATCAAATTCAAAATGGGAATTAACACAGTTACTTTTTGCTGATGATACTGTGCTTATGGGAGATTCTAAAGAAAAATTGCAAAGGTTAGTGGTTGAGTTTGGGAATGTGTGTTAAGGTAGAAAGTTGAAAGTGAACATAGAAAAGAGTAAGGTGATAAGGGTATCAAATGATTTAGATAAAGAAAAATTGGATATCAAATTGGGGAGGAGGAGTATGGAAGAAGTGAATGTTTTCAGATACTTGGGAGTTGACGTGTCGGCGGATGGATTTATGAAGGATGAGGTTGATCATAGAATTGATGAGGGAAAAAAGGTGAGTGGTGCATTGAGGTATATGTGGAGTCAAAAAACGTTATCTATGGAGGCAAAGAAGGGAATGTTTGAAAGTATAGTAGTACCAACACTCTTATATGGGTGTGAAGCTTGGGTGGTAAATGCAAGCAGCGAGGGAGACGGTTGGAGGCAGTGGAGATGTCCTGTCTAAGGGCAGTGTGTGGTGTAATATTATGCAGAAAATTCGGAGTGTGGAAATAGGAAAAGGTGTGGAGTTAATAAAAGTATTAGTCAGAGGGCAGAAGAGGGATTGTTGAGTGGTTTGGTCATTTAGAGAGAATGGATCAAAGTAGAATGACATGGAAAGCATATAAATCTATAGGGGAAGGAAGGCGAGGTAGGGGTCGTCCTCGAAAGGGTTGGAGAGAGGGGGTAAGGAGGTTTTGTAGGCAAAGGGGCTTGGACTTCTAGCAAGCGTGCGTGAGCGTGTTAGATAGGAGTGAATGGAGACAAATGGTACTTGGGACCTGACGCTCTGTTGGAGTGTGAGCAGGGTAATATTAGTGAAGGGATTCAGGGAAACCCGGGTTTTTTTCATATAGTCGGACTTGAGTCCTGGAAATGGGAAGTACAATGCCTGCACTTTAAAGGAGGAGTTTGGGATATTGGCAGTTTGGAGGGATATGTTGTGTATCTTTATACGTATATGCTTCTAAACTGTTGTATTCTGAGCACCTCTGCAAAAACAGTGATTATGTGTGAGTGTGGTGAAAGTGTTGAATGATGATGAAAGCATTTTCTTTTTGGGGATTTTCTTTCTTTTTTGGGTCACCCTGCCTCGGTGGGAGACGGCCGACTTGTTAAAAAAAAAAAAAAAAATTGCCTGAGCAGCAAGCAGGCTTTATCAATCTAACACAGAGGCAGAAAGCTGAAGACTTGTATGCTAGAGTCCGAGGAAAGATGCAGCAGTTAAAGGCATTGTCACGTGGGTAGGGCCCACTACTATAATTAGGTTAGGCCTGTAAGATGGGCTAGGGCTTTAGCAATGGACTTGAAGACATGGAGAGACCAAGCAGTTGAAGATGTGACCACGGGTAGGCAGGACCAACTAGTGGAAGCAGATCATGCCCATGTGATAGATCTAAGTTAGCACTAGAGTTGTTGAAGATACCCTTTTTACAGATGTACAAAGTATGGTGATATTGATGAGATATAGAAGAGACATCTATACATTTATCACATTTAACAGAGGAAACTTTTCACAAGTTTCTTCTTTATTCTTAACCCTTTTACTGTCTGTCCCATAATATTATGGCTTGCAAACCAGTGTCGGTCCCGTAATACAACACCAAAATTCTAGCAGCTTCCATTCTTGTGGAAGATAGCTGGTAGGCCTACATATGAGAAAATGGGTCTGAGTGGTCAGTGTGCTCAGCATAAAAAAAATCCTGCAGCATGCAATGCATAATAAAAAAACTGCGACAGTGTTTTTGGTTTAAAACAGCGACTTTGCAGTGTATTTTTGTATGGTATTTACTGTTGTATTCTTGTTTTCTTGGTCTCATTTGACAAATGAAAGATACATTACAGAAGTAGAGATGATTTTGAATGGATTACAGTCTAAAAGTACCTTGAAATTGAGCTCAAAGTAGCAGAAATCTTCGATTTTTGCAGATGTTCAAGCTTAAACAAATCATGTCACGCGTTTGATACATATCAACTGATGGGTCGAATATGCTTTCACAAATGCGCTGATATTATTTATACCATGTTTACAATAATGGAGTAGTGTGCATAACAGTAAATATTCTATTTTTTTGTGTGAAAAATTCAAAATGGAAAGCAAGCGTAATATAAGAGGGGACTGGAGACGTGACTAATGAACAGAGAAAATGTTATTTTAGTGCTAGGAATGTTTGAATTGTTAATTCTGGACCCTATTTTGAAGTGGCCTTCCTTGAATTTTGTATGAAATTGGCCAAATTACCAATTTCTGATCACTTTATTAGGTAGTTGAAATAGGTAAATGGGTGGTTTCTTGTGCTCAATCGATAGAATGAAAGGAGTTCTAGTGAAATAGCTGTGAGTTTGGTCGACTGGAACAGTGGAATTGGCCAAAAATATTTTTTTTTTTTTTTTTTTTTTTTTTTTTATTAATCATCACTGGCCGATTCCCACCAAGGCAGGGTGGCCCGAAAAAGAAAAACTTTCACCATCATTTACTCCATCACTGTCTTGCCAGAAGGGTGCTTTACACTACAGTTTTTAAACTGCAACATTAACACCCCTCCTTCAGAGTGCAGGCACTGTACTTCCCATCTCCAGGACTCAAGTCCGGCCTGCTGGTTTCCCTGAACCCCTTCATAAAGTTACTTTGCTCACACTCCAAACAGACGTCAAGGTTTTAAAACATTTGTCTCCATTCACTCTCATCAAAACACGCTCACGCTTATCCATGCTGGATGTCCAAGCCCTCGCACACAAAATACCTCCTTTAACCCCCTCCTCCAACCTTTCTAGGGGGGGACGACCCCTACCCGCCTTCCTTCCACTACAGCTACTGATACATCTTGAAGTTATCTGTTTCGCTCCATTCTCATCCACATGTCCGATACCACCTCAACAACCCTTCTCAGCCCCTCTGGACAAAAACAGTTTTGGTAATCCCGCACTCTCATAACTTTCCAAACTACGAATTCTCTGCATTATATTCAACCACACCATTGCTCTCAGCACTGACATCTCCATGCCTTCCAGCACTTCTCCTCGCTTGGCACATTTCATTCACCCAGGCTCACACCCATATTAAGTGCGTTGGTAAACTATACTCTCATACGACACTTTCCCCTCTTTGCCTCCAAGGACGAAGTTCTTTGTCTCCAAGATCCTAAGCGCACCCAACTCACCTTTTCCCATCATCAATTCTATGATTCCATCATCTTTCATAGGACCCATCCGCTGACGCGTCCATCACAAATATTGAATACATTCACCTCCTCCATTACTCTCTCCCTCCAATCTGATATCCAATCTTTCATCACCTAATCTTTTTGTTATCCTCTTAACCTTATTCTTTCTTGTATTCACTTTCAATTTTCTTATTTTGCACCACCTCAAATTCATCCACTCTCTGCAAATTCTCTTCAGAATCTCCCAAGAGCCACAGTGTCATCAGCAAAGAGCAAACTGGAGAAACTCCCACTTTGTGTGTGATTCTTTATCTTTAACTCCATGCCTTCTTGCCAGACCCTCGCATTTACTTTTCTTACAACCCCATCTATAAATATATTAAACAACCACGGTGACATCTCATCCATACTTGTCAGGCCTACTTTTATGCCTTGGAAATAATTTCCTCTTTTCCTACTAATCGAACTGGCCTCACTATCCTGTAAAAACTCTTCATTGCTTTCCAGTAACCTACTCTACACCATACCCTCCTGCAACATCTGCCATCATTGCCCCGTTACCACCCTGTCATATGCCTTTTCCAAATCCATAAATGCCACAAAGACCTCTTTAGCCTTATCTAAATACTGTTCACTTATATGTTTCACTGTAAACACCTGGTCCACACACCCCCTACCTTTCCTAAAGCCAAAAATGTCTGTGACATTTGTGCAGTGGCAAAATTGCTGCTACATAAATGTCGCAGAGACCACTAACTTCATGAGAGTGTAATTCCATAAGTTTTCCATCAAATTTCGTAGTTTTGGTTTCATTTTTTTTTTTTTACATTGGGAAAAGATTCTTTATCATTTCATAGGAAAAAATAATTTTATTTTGTTGTTGAAAATTCTTCAACACTGAGAGCAAGTTTGTGAGCAGGAGTCGCAATAGTGAAAGGGTTAATGCAGACAACTATAAATATACATATATAGTAAGTGGAGATAAGTGACATGAAGAGAGACAATAGTCAGCTACCAGTAGAACACATGATTAGAAGATATCACATGATGGTGCATGAGGGTTGGTGTTGCCTGATAACTGTGTGCAGCACAGTTGCTGAAGCTGCCCAACCTCTGTGGAATGATGTTTTAAGATTGCTGTAAGGGTGGCCTAAAACCATTTTTGTCTGCAGATTGTTGATGATCAACTGGAAACTTATTTGTATTCATGAATCCCCAGTTTGAAAGGTCTTGCTATTTCACCTGTGTGTGTGTTGTTCTTGTTACATCCCCTACAAGGTATGACATACTCCTTCATTAGTAGTTGGGTCTGTTCTATGCTTCTTATGCCTTTAATGTAATGAATCTTGGTACCAGTGTTATCGCTTACAACACTATTGTTAACCTCTGGCCCATCTTATAAGTGTGGCCTTCCACTAGTGAATTCCACCCTTATGTGATGTCTTCAACTGCTGTATCTCTCCAAATCTGCGATTTCATTGCTAATCTGTCGTCCACCTTATTGGTCTGATTTATGGCACTTCTTCTCTGGCTCCATTCTATAAGTCTCCATCCTTCTGCCTCTGTATGAGATGGATTAAGCCTTTTGCACAGCCAAATAATTTTTCCAATGAAGATACCCAAGAAACTGCACATACTAAATCTTATTTATCATTTTGTCAGCATTTTATTCCTTTGATGCAATCAACATACAGTATATAGACGAATAATAAATTGAAATGATTTTTTCAGATGTATATTTTTTTGTAACAAGTTGCAAGTCTACACAAGCCAGGGTGACCCAAAAAGAAGAAAAATCCCCAAAAAGAAAATACTTTCATCATTCAACACTTTCACCTCACTCGTACATAATCACTGTTTTTGCAGAGGTGCCCAGAACACAACAGTTCAGAAGCATATACTTTAAATATACACCAACCCCCTATCTCCCTCCCCCCCCCCCCAACTGTCAATATCCCAAACCCCTCCTTTGAAGTGCAGGCATTGTACTTTCCATTCCAGTACTCAAGTTATGGCTATATAAAATATTGGATTCATGAATTCCCTTTCACTAAATATTACCCTGCTCACACTACCAACAGCTCGTCAGGTCCCAAAAACCATTAGTCTCCATTCACTTTTAACACTGCTTCGCATGCTTGTGGAAGTCCAAAGCCCCTTACCCTACAAAAGTCCTTTACCCCCTCCCTCCTACCTTTTCGAGGATGGACCCCTGCCCCGCCTTCCTTCCCCTACAGATTTATACGCTCTCCATGTCATTCTACTTTGATCTATTCTCACTAAATGACCAAACTACCTCTTACTACCCACTCTTCAGCATCTGGGACTATACTTTTATTACCCTCCACGCACTTCTTATTTCCACACTCCGAAATTTCTCTGCATAATATATACACCACACATTGCCCTTAGACAAGACATCTCCACTGCCTCCTCACTGCAGCATTTACAATCCAAGTTTCACACCCATATAAGAGTGTTGGTACCACTATACTTTCATACATTCGCTTGTTTGCCTCCATAGATAATGTTTTTTGTCTCCACATATACCTCAATGCACCACTCACCCTTCATTAATTCTGTGGTTAACCTCATCCTTCATACATCCATCTGCTGACATGTCAACTCCCAAATATCTGAAAACACTCACTTCTTCCATACTCTTCCTCTCCAATTTGATATCCAATTTTTCTTTATCTAAATAATTTGATACCCTCATCACCTTTCTCTTTTCTGTGTTCACTTTCAACTTTCTACCTTTACACACTCTCCCAAACTTGTCCACTAACCTTTGCAACTTTTCTTTAGAATCTCCCATAAGCACAGTATCATCAGCAAAAAGTAACTGTGTCAATTCTCATTTTGTATTAGATTCCCCATAATTTATTCCTACCCCTCTCCCAACACCCTAGCATTTACTTTTTTACAAACCCCATGTATAAATATATTAACAACATGGTGACATCTACCACATCCCTAAGGACCACCTTTACCAAGGAAGTAGTTCACTCTCTTCTACAACCCCTATACTGAGCCTCACTATCTCATAAAACCTCTTGTACAGCATTTAGTTAACTTATTTACCTTCTTCCATTTCTTGCAACATTTACCACATTGCAGCCCTTCCACTCTGTCATATGCCTTTTTAAATCCATATATGCAATGAATTAAACTTTCCACTACCTTTAAATATGTTCACATATATACTTCAATGTAAAACACTCGCTTCTACATATCCCTACCCACTCTAAAACTCTTGCTTATCCGATCCTAAATTCTGTTTGCCTCTATTCTTTCAATAACCCTACCATACACTTTTCATGATTATAATCAGTAAACTTATTTTTATTTTATTATCACTTCTGGCCGATTCCCCACCAAGCAGGGTGGGCCGAAAATGACAAAAACTTTCACACATCATCACTCCATCACTGTCTTGTCCCTCTTCCCATTTATATAAGGAATTTACAAGCTCTCTGCCAATCCCTAGGTACCTTCCCCTCTTTCATACTATATTAAACAGAAATCACCAACCTCTCTAACAATTTATTCACCCCTCCTGCTATTTTATCTTTATTGTCTTCTGCTACATTGGTGACTTTCTATTTTCCAAAATTATTGTCAGGATTAATGATAATTGATTCAACTAAACACAAAAATCTAACCTAAATAAACATATGAAGAGAGATTAGCTTATAAAAATTTATAAATACAATGGCTATATTTCGAAAAAAGGATATGTTCTGCTTTGACCTGTCAATTTGCCTTTGTTGAAAATCCTCGTAATTAAGTTAAAGAAGTAACTTGCAAAATACAAAGGACAGGTCAGTTGATAAGTTTGGAAAGTATCCACAATGTATGCTAAACCTAAATTGGAATATGTAGCTTTAGTGTAGTGTCTGTGTTATAAAATACAAAAATAATGAAAGATAAAAAATTGCATTTAAAGACTCAGTTGCTTTGAAAGAAATCCAGAAGTATTTCTCCTCACAAAGAGGGTGGTTACTACAAACTATACATACATAAAAAAAAAAAAAACTAAGACATCACAGCACAGAATATTATTGTACAAATAGGTAAAACTCACACATGTCTTGCCTTCACTTTAATGCTCTTCTGCGGTTTTTCCTCTTATTTTTTTTTTTTCCTACTTTTTATGGTATTTATAAATTTTGTATTTTTCAAGGCTGTAAGTTACAAGGATCTCTTTAAAATGAAGAAGGAAGAAAAACAAAAGAAATTGGATGAGTTGGACACACAGAAGAGGTTGGGCTGGAAGGTATGACAGTTGTACAGTTAACATTGTAGCTGTTATTATTAATGAATGTTTATTAGATAACATGTTTTTTAGTATAGGTCTTAGTAGTGTAATAATTTTTGACTATGCAATTCATTAAATATGTTCAAAAGAAGCAAAAAAAATCCAGTTAAATGGTAATGAAATCTGAAAATTTTCCAGGTTCAATTTTTACCTTTTTTTTTTATTTGTTTTGATACATATTTTTCCTATTGAAGGGGAAGTGCCAGAAAAGCCATAAACATATTTTAAATTCTTTTGCCTACATATGCCCTTAAAGCATATGTACTCTTCAGCTTTTTTTCATTGAAGACATGATGTGACATATAGCCCATTTAGCAGTTTTTCTTTAACCTCATTATTCATTTATATCATTCTCTTTGCATGCTCAAATTACCACCTAGTTTCATTAATATTTTTTCTGCACTTTGATTTTGAAGATCACTGAATAAAATACAACCACTCTAATTTCACATTTCTTTCAGTCACTTTTGGGCATTTCTATCAATTTTACCTCAGTACGACTCCCTCACTTTCTATTTTCTTTTAGTTGTGGAGCTGTGTTTCTTTCAGTAGCTGATCTTGGGTTTTTCTATTATTGTTAGCCCAAGATTCTAAAGCATTGTCCCTCCCCAGACTGAGGTTGAAATACACAGATTAACTTTAATTTTCTGTTTGTCTAATGTGGGATTCCTCATTTCAATATTGCTTAGGTATATGTATATATCTGCATAATAGTTATTATATAGCTATAAGATATAGCTCTCATAGCTATAAGATATAGCTCTCATAGCTATAAGATATAGCTCTCATAGCTATAAGATATAGCTCTAATAGCTGTTTAATATTCAGGGTGTTCAGAAACAAGATGAAACCCATAGATTTTGAATGTTTATTAGTAAATTACAAAAATTATTGAATGTGTTGGCCATGAAAGGTTTTCACCAAAGTGTACATGAATCATATTATTAAACACTTGTTTTAACATCTCTTCACATACCATTTACTGTACACCGAAAGTTGACCTCTAACTCTTTCAGTGTATGAGGATGATTTCATTATACATTGTTAAAAAATCTTAAAAAGAAAACCTGTAATGTGAATGCCTTTATCGTATTGATCACTGAAGCAAGCATAATGGGTTGCAGTATATACATTATGCAAGAAAGGTATACAATACTGACAAGGTAAGAGGAAATAAACAAGAACTGAACTGGCTGTATCCCACTGAAGCAGGGTGGCCCATGAAGAAAAACAAAAGTTTCTCTTCATAACTTTAGTAATATATACAGGAGAAGGGGTTACTAGCCGCTTGCTCCTGGCATTTCAGTCGCCTGTTACAACACGCATGGCTTAGGGAGGAAGAATTCTGTTCCATTTCCGCATGGAGATAGCAGGAAATAAAACAAGAATAACAATTAGTAAAAAAATAGAAGAAAACCCAGAGGGGTGTGTCAATATATGCTTGTACATGCAGATGTAGAGTAACAAATGTAGTAGATTTTTTTTAAAAAAAATTTTTTTTTTTTTTTTAAAATTTTTTTTCCAAAAAAAGGGGTTTTTTTTTTTAAAAAATTTTTAAAATTTTTTTTGGGGTTTTTTAAAAAAAAATTAAAAAATTTTTTTTTTTTTGGGGTTTTTTAAAAATTATTTTGGTTTTTTAAAATTTTTAAAAAAAAAAAAATTTTAAACCTTTTTTTAAAAAAATTTTTTTAAAAAAAAATTTATTAAAAAATTTTGGGTTTTAAATTTTTCATTTTTTTAAAAAAAAAAAAAACCCCAAAATTTTTTTTATTTTTTAAAAAAGGTTTTTGGGGGGAAAAAAATTTTAAAAAAAAAAAAATTTTAAAAAAAAAAAAAAAAAAGGGGAAAATTTTTTTTTTAAAAAAAAAATTTTTTTCTTTTTAAAAAATTTTAAAAAAAGGGAAAAGGGAAAGGGCCCCCCTTTTTCTTTTTAAAAAAAAACCCCCAAAAAAAAAAAATTTTTCCTTTAAAAGGGGGGGGAAAAAAAAAAAAAAAAGGGGGAAAAAAAAAAGGGGGGGGGGGGAAAAAAAAAAGGCCCCCAAAAAATAAAAAAAAATTTTTTCCCCTTGGGGGGGAAAAAAAAAATTTTTTTTGGGGAAAAATTTTTAAAATTTTTTTTTAAAAAAAAAAAAAAAACCCCGGGGGGAAAACCCCCAAAATTTTCTTTTTTCCCTTTTTTGGGGGGAAAAAAAGGTGGGGGGGGGGGGGGGGGGGGGGTTTTTTTTTTTTTTTTTTTTTCCCCCCCCCCCCCCCCCTTTTTTTTTTGGGGGGGGGGGGGGGGGGGGGGGGGGGGGGGGGGTTTGGGGGGGGGGGGGGGGGGGGGGGGGGGGGGGGGAAATTTCCCCCCCCCCCTCCCCCCCCCTTGTCCCCCCCTTTTTTGGGGTTAGCTGTGTTTGTAAATTGTGTTTTTTATCTTTTAATTGCCTTTCCTTTTATCTGCCAAGCAATTTATGGCACTTTAGTAGGCTTTCGAGGCTGTTTAAAATGACAAGAAAAGGTTTGGGGTTTAAGGCTTTGATGGAAAAGTCATTAGTACAAATTAAAAAGAATAAGGGTAATTATGTGAAATTTGTGTTTATGAATAACTGGCTGACTCATTTTTACAGACTTTTCTGGGCTTGCTGGACTGATTTATTTTGGGCTGGGCTTAGTTTTTTTTTCCCCTTTTTTATGAAAAAACACCCTGACAAAAACTTGATGCAGTGCTCGAAAAGGTTTTAGAGCAGTGATACCCTTTAAAGTCAGCTGTATAATGTGTGCAGGGTAAAATAGCCCCGAAATCCGTTAAAAGAAATTTTTGCACACTCCGTACAAAAAATCGATTTCAGTACCAAAAACCTCTACCCTCCACCTAAACCCAAAAGGGCCAAAAGCATAACTCTCCACTCTTCACAATAATCGACCCAAAAACCAGCACCCACAAGTTAATATAAAAAAAAATCTATTACTTCTGTTGCATTTGTAGTCTTAAGCAGGGAAAAAAAAACATAATACATCATGAAATGAAATACAATTACCCTATTTTCCCTTTTTTTTTTGGGAAGATCTGGGGGGTTAACAAAATTTTTTGGCTTTTTTTTTTGGGGGTCCCAGGAAAACATTACCCATTTTTTCCCCCCAAGTTCTTTTAGTTTATTTTAAAACGGATTTTTCCTAAAAGGGTTTTTTTGGAATGTAACTATGTAAAGGTATACTTTTACCTGAAAAACCCTTGGGATGTTTGAGTCACCCCAATCTTTGTTTTTAAAACCCAATTTTCAGGTTTCCGTTTCACCCCTTGCTTGGTAGGGGCGGTAGTTTCCTTTCCCCGGGTGGGTGCTGTCTACCAACCTAATACCAGGATTTTTTTTTTTTTTTCTTTGAAAAAACCGCTGTATCCCACCAAAGCGGGTGACCCAAAAAGAAAAACAAAATTTTTTCCTTTTTAAACTTTGTAAGTATGAAAGAGAAGGGGTTCTACCCCCTTTCCCGACATTTTATTTCCTTTACTATGCATGATTTAAAAGGGGAAAATTTTTTTCCACTTCCCCATAGTGCACATTTAAATTTTGAGTTTTTTAGCAACTTTTTAATATTTTATAATAGCATACAATAGTTGTAAATAGCTGTATAAAAATTTTTAAACATAACTAAATCAAACCCACAAGGGTTTTCAGCTAAATAGCCATAAAATGAGACCTTATGGTATGGGGAAACTTTTTTCAGGAACGTTTTTGCCCACAGGGCTTCATCAGTCCAATACAAAGGAAGGGTAAGGAGAGGGGAGAATGAGGTAATCAGTCCCCCCAAAATGGGTGATTGTTCAGCCATCAATCTTGTAGAATGTAAGCATAGGGCCGTAGACGTGGCTATATACTGTAGTGAGGGACGTGAAGCGTGGGGGGCGGGTCATAGTGGTACCATCCATGTCAAAATAGGGCTTCGTCCAAAGGTTGAACAAATGTTGAAGAATTCTTTTTAACAAGCCCCCTATGCTGCCGGTCTGACAGTTGTGATGAATGGTTTGAAAAAAACCCGACAAGTTGAGATTGAACACTTATGAGCATATGGGAATTTTTTCAGGAAACGTTTCCCCAACAGTGGCTTCATCGTCCATACAAAGGGGAAGGCGAAGGAGAGGGGAGAATGAGGTAATCAGCCCTCACCGGGAGTCGATGTGTTCGTCCATCAATCTTTTTGATGAACAGCATAGGGCCGTAGAGTGGCTTATTACGTAGTGAGGTGACGTGAAGCGATGGGGGCGGGGTCTAGTGGCCATACTGTCGAAGGGGGGTCTTCTCCAAAGGTTGAAAAAGTGTTGAAGATTCTTTGTAACAAGCCCATATGTGCCGTGTCGGGACAGTTGTGTGATGGTTTAAAAAAAACCGACAAGTTGAAGATTGAAACCTTATGCAGATAGGGAATTTTTATTCGGGAAGGTTTCGCCACCGGGGTTATCGCCAATACAAAGGGGAAAGGGGCGAAAGGGGGGGAGGAGAATGAGGAAATTTCAGTCCCTCCCCTGGAGTGATTTTTTCAGCCCATCAATCTTGTGAAGTAAGCATAGGGGTAGCGGGGTTATATACGTAGTGGGTGAGGAGGAGATGGGGGGGGTTAGTGGTCCATCCTAGCTGTCTTCACAAGATTGTGGACTGAAACATCGACTCCGGGTTGAGGGACTGATTACCTCATTCTCCTCCTTCCTTACCCCTTCCCTTTTTTGTTTTGGATGTAAACCCACTTGTGGGAAAGTTTCCTAATAAAGTTTCCCATATGTGCAAAGGTCTCAATCTTCAATTTGTGGGTTTTTTAAAAACCTTTCATCACGATAAAAAGTTACAGTGACCACACTGAGCAAGAGTTTATTTGGCATGTTTGGGTATGCACGATTGAAGAATTGCAGCACAATTTTTGTAACATTTGAAAGATAAATTAAAAACACGGTACAGCTTGCGGGGAAGGAAAAAAAAAATTTCCCC